GGATGTGTCAGGGAAACATCACAGCTTCCAACTCATCTCTATAACCATGAAAGCCAAACTCTGTCCTATTGTTAATGAGCAATGATGGTCTGATGGAACCATGGAAGGGCAGATCTGAGGACAAACACAAGAAATTTATGTGGGCTTACTGAGGAAAATTAAGACATTTGTAATCACACACCTAAAACAAAGAGAACAACAGTATGTTTAAGATGGGATTTGATGGAATTTTTTCCTTATATTTCAGTGGTAGGTAAATGGAACTATTGTATTAGAGATGGAATTTGACAGAATTTTTTCCTTATATTTCAGTGGTAGGTAAATGGAACTATTGTATTTCAGCCATCTTAGTGATATATGAAACAAAATATTGTTAAAAACATCACAGAACTTCCAAAGTGGAAGGCAAAAAGGTCCTGTATTCACAGTGAAAATGTATTAATTTTGAAAAGATACAAACCTTGGTGTCTGAGCCACCATTATTGCTGCTGGAAATTAAAATAAACTGGATTTTTAAGGCTATATGTTTAGAACCTAAGGACTGTATAATACTGTATGTCTTGTCCATTTAGACCAACCTGTCTTTCCAGTCATCTGCAGTGGTCTTTCAATGCTGTTAAAAAAATGCTACATAATTTTAGTAACAGGTTTCCACAACCCACTGGTTTTCAGTCCTCCACATAATTTCACTAAAGTATGTCCCTGGTTTTAAAGGTTTTGCAGCTGTTCCAGCTACAGCTGTCCAGTGTCTCTGAATATTTCTTAAGGCTTTTTTTTTTTTTTTGGTGCCTAGATCTGCTAGGGTTAATTGTTACACAAAAAGTCCATGCAGGACAGATGTGGATATAAAAGGATTATAGAAAAAAGTAGGAAATGCCTCACCACAGTGAACTCCCTCTTCAGTCAGAAGATACTGGCATGAACTCTCTCTCTCACACAATATACCCACAACCTGTTTAAGTCTACCAGCACCACTAAACAATAATTTGCATTTATTATTAATATTATTACTCAGTTCAAAGGCTGATGTCAAGATGTCTGAGGCAAGGAAAGTACATGGTGCATTTTTAAAAAATCCTCAATTTCATTGGAGTTTTCTGTTTTCCTTGGGGTTTCTCTGGTTTTTTTTCTTCTTCTTTTTTTTTTTTTTTTTTTTAAGCTCTGTTCTAAGAAAAGGAAAGCGGGGGATTTACTCAAAGCAGGGCAAGTCGGTTACTTATGAGTCACCTTCATGACTTATAAAGGGTCTCAAGTTTTTTGGAGCGGGCTTTCTTCACCTAACTAATGCTGAAAGGATATCAGGAGACCAGCCAGACCAACACATCTCTGTGGCAACTGCTTCATTTTTCATTGACCTTCTTTCTCTGTCTCTCTCTTTTGCTCTCTCTCTTCTTTAAAAAGGAAAAAAAAAAAAAAAAGCCAAGCTGAGTGATCATGGTTAACCTGTGAGATGGAACAAAGGAAGTCTGTGGCCTTCTTGCTGCATTGGTTTTGCTTGTATCTCTGTGTGAGGACACTGCCTCATAGCAGGTAGGTTTTTCAGCTTGGTTCTTTGGTGTTTGTTTATTTTTGCATGCACTCTTTTTTAAAAATGAGAAGCTCGTGTGCTAAAAGAGATGGGACCAGGCAAAGGGAGGGGCCCCTGGGGCAGGGCTTAGAGGACTCAAGGGACAGGGAGGTTGAACTTCAAGCTTTTGCACACATGCAGAAATACTCTAGAAGGCATCCTTATGGAATATGCTCCAGCCATCCAGGCTCACACAGCCTCCAGGGAATGCACACAACCCCCATGCTGGTTTTGAATTCACCTTCATGGTGCCCTCATTGATCTGCTGGGACAGCACATACAGGAAAGGTGCCTGCATGCTGCCTGTCAGCTCATGCTTTTTATTTTTTAGTTCATCCTTCTTTTCTTCTAAGGTCAATAGTTTAAAAGACCATACAACATGGAATAGAATTTCTACAGCATTTCAGTTGCCTACATGGAAGAGTTTCGTGATGCATCTGTAGTTACTGTCTTGCCTACAGCTTGTCAGAGGCATTTTGAGGTGTGCAAAACTAACTGTGTGACTTTTTAAATATTGACCAAAGAAGTAGTTTGGATAATGTGTCAAGTTTTTGTCCTCATTTCATAAATAAGCAGCAGAGAAATGCCTTCTTTAAAGTATACCCATTAGACTTGCATCATTTTTTATGGTTTGTTTTAATTATTTTTAAAATTAACATGATTCCAATGCCAATACAAGAACTCAACATATTTCTCGAAATCCCTAATAATATTAACAAAACAGGATCTCAGCGTTAATACCTGTCTGTTGAAAACTCTAAGGTTCTATTTGATGATAAAAATTTGCTCTGGATTCAAATTTTGGCAGCAAATATCTAGGATCAATAATTTATTCTACTAGGTTTTCAATATGGTAATTTTTAATTTACAAAGGAGCAAGCAAAATAGCTGAAATTTATTATTTAAAAAAATGTATTATCCAGCTACTGAGCCACAAAGTGGAGGCATGTTTTATTATACAGGAAAGTTTTCGGCAGAGAAAAGTTTTTCTATCTACATAAACATCCTTGGAGCTCTCCCAGTATCTTAAAAACCTGAATTCAATATTTTTTAAATGTTTTTTTTTAAATAGCTCTACTTTCTGAGAAATTACATGAGAACCTCCTGAAAATGTAAACAGGGTATCTAAAAATGAATGGCTGTATACTGTTCATATATAACAGCCTTTTGTAGGTGATTAAGACATTAATAGAATTGTTAATTTTATTACCTCTAATTCTCTTTCAGTCAAAATTAGATTTCTGCTATTCAAAGCTAAAAACACCTCTGAAACTGGTACATTACATTTTGGTCTTATTTTTTACAAAAATAGTTTTTTTCCATGACTGCAGAACAATAAAGATTCAGAGGACACTCTCATACTACCAAAGCATCAGGCTTGGAGTCTGTCACAGTCTGATTCTTCCAACATGACTGTGAGTTTTCATACTCATCTGTGAGCTCTGCAGACTTCTGGCCTTGGTGAACTGCCTTTCCTCCCACAAGAAAAAGACTTGTTAGAGGTGACAGCACAACCCTAAGCATCAGCAGATAAGGCTTCCCAAAAGGCAAGTTCTAAATTCTTTTTGCTGTTTGGAGAACACATTTTATCATTCTAAACTGGCTACTGAATTTTGCAGAGTTGGTATTACTTTCCTAAGCTGCACATGCTTTTCATTTAAAAAAAAAAAATTATATTGGGAAGTTCTACCAAAGCTTTCATGTCTTCTTCCTATCAACCCGGGGACAAAAGGTTGAATTTTATTCCAGATTTATGACAGTGAATCCCCTCCAGTTGGGCAATAAGTAAATAAGAATTTGGTCATTGGAACTGGAGAGGCAAAACTGGCTAAGACTCACATGGCTAATGAGCTAGATTCTTCTAATCCTTCAGCAGACTACCGTAAATCCCCTCGGAACCTTTAGGTATCATACAAAAATGTCCAAATGTACAGGTGGGGAAACAAGCATTTGTCACGGTTTAACTAAGTACATTGAATGACACTTTTGATGACACTTCTGAAGGGAATCTGACTTTTTAATTGGACAGCTTCCATGGAGGCAGTAGCATGAATGAAGTCTTAAAATGAAAATAAAACAGACACCTGTCTGAGGTCACTGCAACAGATGAAGGAACAGAAAAGCAGATGAGTGGATAGGACCTAATGGCCAGAGGTCAGCAGATAAGGCAGGAAGGATACATGTTTTATTCTGATTATAGGGGAAGAAAGTGCTGGAAAAGAGAAGAGGAAAGTCACACCAGATCTAATGAGCTTCTTCTTTATTAATGTTCCAAGGGGATTTTATTTCATTGTAGTTAAACCTGAGTAGATGGTCACTGTTTCCACCGATGTTAAGGCCACATTTTTAGAGCTGTTTGAGAAGACAGCAGGGAGCAATACAGGTATTTGTTCATGTAAAGGAAACCTGACAGCTATACAAAAGTCTGTTACAAAGGTTCAGCAAGAGGAAACACGTGTCATTTCTCACCACTTCCTGATAAAGCATGTTTTGTGTTTCTGCCTTTAGCACACAGAAGACAAACAGTTCACAGTGTGCTATGCAGCTTTTAAATCCAAAACTGAAATGCAAGTATAGCAGCCTAGGCAAAACTATCCCATGACATAAATCCAAGATCGTGGGAGTAGAAAAGCCCCAAAGTAAATTCTCATCTGTGGTTATGGCCTTGTGCTTTTGCCAGGAAGGACTGGCTCTGGAGTAAAGCTGCAGAAACCAAGTGCTGCCCAAAGTCTCTCACTTCTATCACTGCTCAACAATACTGCTGGAAGTTGGCATGGGCAAGCACAGCACTCATTCAGCTTCTTTAGAAAAACAATGATTAGATGATATTCAAGTGATCAGTTTCAAAACTATCCCTTCTCCAAGTCTGAACACAGGCAGACTGAAGAAAAAAAGTACTGTCAACTACAAATGGCTGCTGCAAACCACAGATAAAAACATTTGCTTTTTAGCAGAACCCATTTAAGACATGAAATAATTAGAATTTGGAAGCATGGTGTAAAGAATAGCAACCTGGAATACATTTAAGAGAGTGAAAATTAACAAACATATTCTACAAATATTCTAGGGGCAGTAGACTTGGATGTAACAGAAGCTTTTGGTATTAAACTCTTGTCCTATTACCAAAGTGATCCTTATCCAAAGCTTAATGAAGACAAATTTAGTGTTTCCACAAAAGGAACTGATGCTTTTCATTGAGCTCTTCATACATACCTTTGCCCACTGGGTGACATCAAGTGAGTAAGGATTTAGGGACTTAGAGATATTAAAAGCACAATAATTGAATTCAAAAATAATTTAGGTTAAAAAGATTCTCTGAACATCATCAAATTCAAAGCCCTCCTCAAAGAAGGTTCAATGGAGAATGAATTTAGGTAAGACAACCTTTTATTGACATAATTACAGGTTTGCCTTCTTTCCATAAAAAAAAACCCAAAAACCAAAAAGCCAAAAACAAAACAAAAACAAATCCCCACCAAAATTAATACCTTAACTTGGATCTTTTATCCTTCTCCCATGGCCTGTGTCCCTCACCTTATGAACCCATACCACAAATAGACACACAAAATTTTATCACAGGTTTAAAAACTGTTCACTTCACTGCCCCAAAATGCAAATCTTACACCACAGCTCTCTGTGCCCAGCTTCAGTGGGAGTTTACTCTGAACACTCACCAGAGCTCTGAATCATCACTTTAAACCTGAGGTTTGGAAATTTCTAAACCACTTTTCTTCTGCCTACCAAAATTTTGTATTCACCTTGGAATTTTTGCTTGCCACTCACATATTGCAGACATGTACGAGGCTGGTTTCATTTAGAGTGGCACAAAGTGAAAGGTAATTTCCCTAAAATCTCTAAATTAGATCACACTCTTACTATGACATTTTAACTTCCTCTTAAAACATGTGTTAGTAACAGTAAGGAAGTTATAAAAGTACATCAGTTTCTTTAAATTTACATACACAAAAAGATCTCCAAGACTGCCTCATATATATTGTCTCATTTATCATTTCTCTCTTGTTACTTTTTGATTGAACAACAAAAAGGTGGTTGTTGTTTTTTTAAGTGGTTACTGGGAGACAAAGAGAAAACAAACAAGATTCAACTATTTATGAACTCTGCACAGGAGCTGATACTTTATTTCAGAAGGATAGATAAAGAAAAATATATTTCAATCAAGACATACTTAGCGGAGAACAAAATGGGCATTACTTGGGCCTTTTTAAACTGCTTGGAAAGACTGTCTCAACAATTCAACCCTTATTACTGCTGTAAGTAATTGATAATTGTAAAAATAAATCAGGTAGTTTAATATATAATGATGATTCTCCATCCTTGCTTTTACTGAGTGTACTTCTATTTAATTATATGATTTCTTTGCATATTTTTGAAATTGCTGACTTCTAAAACTGTTTCTCCTTGTTTGTTTCCAGAGGAGAACTTATAATAGGCTGAAATAAGTAAAAAAGTGTTCAACTTTGGTAAGAAAGATTCAAAGGTCAAAGCATCAATTAATGGTTAATATTATGAAGCTATTAGCAAGCAGTTCAACACAGACAATTATATTAATTCATCTCATTCTAACCTACTGGTTAGAGGTAGGTACAAGGGTGTAGGAGCCCTGCATATGGATTCTAGACCAGCAGTTAAATCTCTCCAAAAGGTTTCTCCAGAAGGTTTTCTTTCTGCTCATTTATACCAGAATCCAAAGGAATATTTATTACCTCACCAACCTTGCAACCTGATGTAACTATGATTATGTTTAGTGCTGTTTCTCACATCCTGTTAAAGAGTCAGCTCCCTGAGAGGCATTTTTTCCTTAGTTAAATCAGAATAAATAAAGTAATTTTTCATTTTGATTTTTGGGGAGTTTAAAACATTTTGAGGAACTAGACTTATATCAGAAGTCTTCATTAATTGATATCTAAAGGGATACAAAATTGAGCAAGACCATGCTGCAATCTGTATTCTGCCTGCTCACAGCAAGCTCAATGCACTCACTGCTCAATACACTCTAGTTCTCTAACTAAAAAAATGGCAAGTTTGACTGGGTGTGGATATACAGCAGATGGTTCCTGTGTATTTAACTGCAATAATTCCCTCTCTGATATTTCTCCATCCTCTGCCATAATTTCTTGATACATTTTTTTTATTTTTTTTTTTTCTTTTTTTTTTTCTTTAGGTATGTCAAGGGGAAAACCCAGTGCTTTGTGTTCTTTATGTCTCATACTCCAGTCTCTGGAGTTCTTCTGTTGGCTGTATGTTGTTAATGCTAATCGTGATAGGGGTTTTTACCTATGACTGACTCCTACACGTTAGCATTAACACTGTACCATGCCTCTTACCAGAATTCACATGGAACAAACTGTTGCTGTGGGAGGAGAACAGAAATCATGAATCAGTCAGTGCTATGCTGGGAAAAACCTCTGCTCTACATATAAAAAGTCAAGTTGTTCTGCATACAGGCATGCCTGCTAGAATGCTTGCTAAGTATAGAGCCTGGAAAAGAGGAGAAAAAAATAGCAGCTCTGTGTATTATCAAGTCCTTACTAGGATGTGCAACATTTTGAATGCAACAACCTGGATTTTACTTTATCAAATTTCAGCTCTTTTGGTTTTACTTCCTACACAAATGTTTCACTTCTTCATTTTTATTTAGGAAAGAAAAATGATGGATTAAACTTCTGGTGTGTACAACTTCTATTAATTTCTATAGAATTTTATTATACATAAGAGAAAAACTGACAGAAAATGTTTCTTTGAGATTCCATTGCCAGTTCTTTAGGAGAAATGGGTCAATGGGTCACTAGGAGAAAATGAAAGTATCTTTAGTTCACTTTAGGATTACCTGTGCATTTCAAACTTTAAGAAGTCTTAGAAAATTGTAGAGAAACAGGAAAGTACTGTTATATTTATTTTGTGGAAGGTCAAAATAGTTCCTGAATATTCAGTCACAAAAACCTGAGTGACAGAGACAGTCCTTAAAACTCTCTCTTATCTCTACTTAAATCTGCTTGGGGAATAGTTTAGCTATGAAACAGTAATTTGATGGGAGAACAAAAGGGAAAACTAAAAAACTCAAAGTACTCACCATAAATTAAGAAATATGTTTAATGTTTGTGATGTATCAATATGAACACCTCTTTCTGTTATCAGTGTTCTGCCTGTGAATCCCCAGTACAAGGAATGATTACAGAGCACTCAAGACCACAGGAATTTACAAAGCAATGGTCTTATAAAAAAGTGTCCCATACGAAAAGTCTTGCTGAATGTGATTTTTACACTCAGACAGAACTGCTGCAGGGCATAAATGTTTTCCAAATCAGGCTCTAGGTTAAGTGGCTCCCCCAGGATGCATACAGCTTGGGGGGGCCATAACCACCAAAAAAGAAAAGCCACTTTTATCCCTTCCAAAGTCAGAGCTGTAGCTCTGAGAGGGAATTCTCAAAGTGGTGCAGCATATTTTAGTAAAGAAAAGCATACTCCTAATAACACTCCAGAGAAAATGGCTTTAAATGCAGGAAGAAAATTGTGGCAAAACAGAGAAAAGTCCAGAGACAATCTCATTTCTTGGGTGACACTGAAGCTCAGTTTAATTTCCCTGTCCATTTGAGGCCACATTCAGCAGCACTGGTCTGCTGAAGCAAAGATGATCCTGGAGCATCTGTCCTGAATAGACACGTCAATAGAAGGTGTCTTAAGGAAGAAAACAGATCTTTCCCCTCACCATCCTAATTCATAGTCATGCCATAAAAATCAAGTATTTGTTCCCTCACATTTTCTATCTTTAAAATGTGACTAACATGCAAACTTAAAAAATAGATAGCAATTATAAATATGGTCAAATATTAGACCTATTATGTGTATTCTTTCTGCACTGCTGGTTCCCCAGAAAAGCAGACATAGTTAGGTTGTGGATATTATAATAGCAGATATTAAAATAATAGGTTTTCTTTTCACTCTGAAAAAATGTTAATGCTGTCCATGACTGGGGTTAGGTCTCATGAAAAACCACAGCATGATAGCATTACCATTTTCAGATGGTTGGTGTTCTTCAAGAAATACCCACTGTCAACTCTTCCAATCAAATACCTTTATGCTGCCAAGTTCCTGTGTCTGTAAAAACTAATCAAATAAATGCAGCAGGTTAACTGGCTTCAAATATAACAAAGTATTGTGCTGAGTGGAACAGTGCTAGATAAGTTAACAAAAAGCAGTAGAAGATTACTCCTTGACAGAAGTTAAAATAGAAAAGGAAACTTGTTCTGGCTGCTGTCATGAAAGGACTTGATGTCTACTGATGATTGTTTTCATCACTTGCATGTGTTCAATTTCCCAGGGAAGACCTTTACTGCCTGGTAAGAAAAAAATAACTCTTTCTTAGCATTTAATTCCTTCTGTTATTAAGTAAGTCATACTATATCCTAATTGCCTTTTCTATCTCCAAAGTCCATGATAACATGAAATACAGAATATTTCTTTGGAAGAAAATTTCTCAGTTGGTTATATGTGTCAGCTGAAACTGCTCAACTTTCCTTTTGCCACCTCTTAGGATTAAGACACCATGTAGCTTTAGCCTTAATATAGGGTTTTCTTTTCTTGGATAAAACCAGTAAGCAAAAAGGAAAGATTAAAAGTTTCAGCTCTTTCAAACAAGATGCAGAAAGAGGAACAACCTGAATGTGAGAAGCCATGAAGAGATGTGCAACAAAGAAGAAGGCTTCAGTTCCTGCCTTTTCCCCTGTCACTATAGAACCTTGGAATGGGTTGGGTTCAAAGGGACCTTAAAGATCATCCTGTTCCAAGGCCCCTGCCATGGGCAGGGACACTCTCCACTAGATCAGGATGCACCAAGTTCCATCCAATCTGACCTCGAGCATTTCCAAGGCCGAGGTACTCGTGAGTTCTCTGGACAACACGTTCCAGTGTCGCACTGCTTTCACCATAAAAAAAAAATTCTTACTTATTCCTTATCAGAATCTGGCCAGTATCAGCTTCTGCTCATGTATGTTGGCTTAAGTGACCCTGCCCTCCCCTTTCTCCACTTCACAGCATTGTGTCCTCCTAGATTCTTCCTTTTAGCTGGTTCTGCAGTTCTTTTGCTGAGTAAAAATTGCCTCTTTACACACAGAAATTTAATTTTAAAAAATAGCCAAGAAGGGGAATTGGCAAAATTCTGCAGTGTCTTTTGCCCATCTATCCACCCCTACTCCCTGCAGCTTCCTATAGTGTTCAGTATAGAAAATAACAACATCTGCTTTTATGTATCTTTTTGAACTGATCAGTGATGGTGTCTTCTGACTATTTCCAATGGAGAAGATTGGACCAGGCCCCAGGGTAGGCAGGACAGTGCACAAACATCCAGAATCCACACTCAGAGCTTTGCCATACACATTTTGGTATTTTACATAACCCCATGGCTTTAAGTTTGGTATATGGTGATAGTTGCAGGTATGTGTGTGAGCACTGCTCCAAACAGCAGCTGGAACCACCCTGCAGTTCAGCTGAAGTTCAGAAAACCTAAGTCAAAAAGAGAAAGGAAGCACCACTCTAACTCAGCTGCTCCAACAGCCTTCTCAGCAGACAATTTCAGCATTTTATGCACCAACAGTCAATGGTAAAATAAATGGCCTTGAATTCAGAGTCGTATCTCCCTGCTGCCCTGTGGCTGGGGAAACTGAGCACTGCTTCCATTTGTTCTCACACTCATTCAAGGAACGTTCAGAACTTTTCTAGCAGTGCCATCACTTAATACAGATCAGGCAGGGAGTACTCAAAATACCATATAAGCCAATCCCCGCAAAAAACACAGATGTTCTTCTCTGCACATGTGGCTCTGAATCCCACATTGGCAGAACAGACTTCAATCTACATTCCTATTTCAAAATGCTAAGAAATGAACACTATTGCCCAATTCTCTTTAACTGTTGCTGTGCTCTGTGAAGATCCTGGTGCTTTTCAAACACATTCTCCAGTTACATCTCTCCCTAAGGGAGACCTGTCTTCGGGACCCCATGGAAGTCAAGGTGTGAGACAGCACAGAGTTCTACAGAAGTTTGAACTTCCACCATTTTATGCACAACCTTCAGGGAAGGGTCTGCTACAGACATCAACATTTTCAGGATTGCAGTTGCACATTTGCAAAAGTCCTTTTTGTGAGTATTGACCTGTGGGATGACTTTCCTGCTCCTCCAACCAAAAAACCTCACACCCCAAACATAAGAAACAAACAAAAAAAAAAAACCCTCTCTCCCCAGCCCCCAGAAAAGCACATACCAGAAAAGCTCTGAAATTCCAGCCAGGGTTAAAAAAAGTATAGTCCTAAGTGATAGCATCCCTCTCACCTTCCTCTGCAGCTGGTGGAATCCAGGAGGAATTCTGGATATCCAAAAAAGCAAGCAGACATCAGGGGGCTTTCTAGGTTGTAATAGAACAAGTTTAAGATTCAAACCAGATCACCTGGATTGGATCCCAATGGCAAAATTTCTCTGGTCTTGGGTTAATCAAAGATGGCAAGTACTGCATTAAACAACAAACAAAAAACAACCAACCAAAGAAGCAAAACTAAAAGAAAACCACAACAAAACCCAAAAAAAACAACACAAACAGCAAATTTTTGTGTTTATTAAGACAAGAAACAATGCCTGCTCCTTCAACAGCACCAGAACAACAGGTTCAAAACCAAAGTACACTCCAGCAAGTTCAATTTAATGAAAATATACAGAATGTGTAAATGCATAGTGTACATTGAAGGTAAACTTTGAATCAAAAATCTTATTAAAAAAAATAAGCATCTGATACCATTATAAACAGTCCTCTGCAACATTAATCAAGAGGAAAAAGCCCCATATGTTTTCCAAGCATCCTGAGAAGACATGGGTTATACCTAAATGTATTTTACTGAACCACTACCCTGCTCTCACAAAACTGTGGTGTCAACTGATTAAGAACCAGGTGACACAGTTAATGGTAAAAATAATAATTGGGATGAAATTCAGAGAAAATATTTGCACTTCAAAAAGTAATAAAATTTTCCTCTGGTATAATAAGAACAGTTTTAATGAGTTAGGGATAAAAATACAAAACATCAGAAAACATCATCTAACAAAACCCCCTTGCGAAATTTAATTGAAGTCACCATAAATATCAAAGAAACAAAATGCATAATAAATCTTAGTACACTAGGGATCCAAGTAATGAACTAAATTATTAGTATTATTCTGGAAAATTATCTTTAACAGCACTTGTGCAGCAGAAAGAAATCATTGAACGCCAAGAACTTTCTGCGTTTACATTCTACTATTTTTGTATTGGTAAAGCAATGGTAATTATACCTTTACATACTTTTAAGGGTATCTTTTTAAGATACTATTTGTCTCAACTTTCAGTTGCAGTAGGCAACAACATGGACGGACACATGCAATTGTTGTTGTCATGGTAAGGACAGGGGCAACTTGAAAGTTATTGCAGATAAAAAATTACCTTCCCTCTACTCCCCCCTTTTTTTCTTCGAGGAAACCTTTGAAGTGGACTGAAACATCTTGTGTATACTTGTGTCTATACTCATCTATGATTTAGGTCACAGAATTCAAATTAATTACTGTCCTAGGGGGAGGTTATGATGCTTGTATCCCCAGTTGTGTGTTCTGTTTATGCTGGATATTATATTCTGTGCCTTCAAGACTGGCTCTGAGAGCGAAGGCTCACAGAGAAGAAGCACAGAGTTTGTTATCAGCCTGTACTCACT